ACACACACACACACACACACACACACACACACACACACACACACACACACACACACACACCAACCTCCACTTCCCTCAGGCTGAAGTGCACAGAGTGCCTCCGAGCTATCGGGTGGAGCTTGTTGTCTATATGGATTCAACCTTCAAAGGCGGAAAAGAGGAATGGACTCAGCTGGTTTGTTTATTGGCATTGCATCACACACACACACACACACACACACACACACACACACACACACACACTGCACCCATAAATCAAGGATGCCCAAAGAAAAAGGGGACTCACTGTCTGACGCAGGAGCAATGAATCGCTTCTGTAAATCCCCACAACACAACAGTGAGTGGATCAATACGAGTAAAGTGATCTCACAAGCTCAGGAAGGTGCCAAACAGCTACTTTTGATTAACAATGTACAACTTAAAGGGAGGTGGCTGTTTTTTTTTTTAACTACAGAACAGACACATAAATGAGTAGAAAGACTGCAATTAAAGCATGTGTGAGGTGTTAGTGGTCTTGCCAGTGGATTAATTGCTTTTTAATCACTCCTTATCTGTTAGTAAAACTAAACTAAATGAAGAATGCAAGAAAAAGAAAGGGAAAAAACAATAAAGATTAATTTCCTCAGTTTACTTGGTTGAAAAACAAATGTGACCTATGAACTATGCAGCAAAACTGCAGTGAACACAACATGAGCTTCAGGGGTCTGAGGCTAGTGGTGTTACTTTAAAGTGGTTTTCAGATTACTGTAACAGCTTCATATCGATTTTTTTTTTTTTTCAAATTAAATAATCACCTGAGTGGAAAGAAGAATTCATCTGATAATGTTTTATGCTCTCACTCAGCCCGTGCTTCTAAACTGTCAGAGGAAATATYCACAGGAGACATGGTGCATAATGGAAGTTTCTGTGGATGAAGATGCTGAGTTTGTTGAGGTCATGAAATGTTTGCATTTATTTTTGAAGCACTTTTTGGAAAACAGTTAAATAAAAATCCTAAAGTAAATTAAAATAATATTTTTTTACATTAAGTCAGGAAACACAATAGACGTTGGTGATGCTCACACTAGGCAGGTTGCAGGCATTTAAGTCACYAGCTGTAACTCAAAACCCAACAGTAAAGTTATTTGGATTAACAAACTTCAGGCAATTAACCCTTCAAAATAAAATGCAAAAAAAAAATCACTTTGTTTTGTTGTAAATAAAACTGGCACAAAAATCTATTGAATATCTCCATATTTTTAACTCTTGTTAGACATGTTATTTCAGTGAGCTATAACCCAATTACAAATTTCATATTATATTACATTTTAAGGGGGAGTGAATGGGCACAGTGTTCATGATTTATTAGAGGAATTTCTCTCTCAGAACGAATGCAAGTGTATAATTCTAAATATAAATTTAGACTAYGTGAAGTGCCGCCTTTTCTAAATAAACCCTTTCAGGTAAACTCCACCATGCTTTTGTTTTGAAAAGACTTCCGGTGCCTCAGATGTTTTTCTTAGTTAACTTGACTGTTTGCAGYTCCACTCCTCTGTGCTGCCCTGCGCAACTGTGTTCAGCGGAGGATGGAACATAAACACCTTTCTAGTACTACTGATGGGCATTTTGCATAATTTAGTCACATGGTCTGAGAGAAACCTTTCAGAGGACAAACAACACGAGTCTCAGGCTTTAATAATAATTTGTGTCAAAGTGTTTTAGAAGGTAAATATTCTTAATGCGGATGTGCTGCAGGTTGCCCACCGCACTGAGGAGTGGACAGCTGTTTTAAAGACTAATAGACAAACAAACGCACCCTTCAGTGGATTAAAAAAAAGCATATTTACCTTGTTCAGGGTCCCAGTTAACTTGTTTTGTCGGGTGCTCTATTGGAAATTTCATCTCTGTTTTTTTGTTCTCAGTCACACTGACAGGAAAAATATCAACGCGAATCCAAAATCAGACAAAAAAAAAAAAATCGGAAATAAATCACGACGCATTCCTTTCCCCGCTTCTTCGGTGCTTCATCTTTTTTTGCGTGGAAGCTGCTTTGGAAGAAACGCATCGTGAAACCGCATTGTCTGCTTTTCAAGTGGAACACCCCCCTCCTCTCTTTTTTTAACCCCCGCCTCGCTTGAACGAGGTGTCGCCCACGACCACCGACAGACTTCAGATGAGGTGGTGGACTCCCAAACGCCTTCCGGTGAAGTGTCGCACCCCTCTCTCTGTGGTCCAAACAGCACCAGACTGAGGCACTGCCCGTGTGTGTGTGTGTGTGTGTGTGTGTGTGTGTGTGTGTGTGTGTGTGTGTGTGTGTGTGTG